GCATCCCCATAGAAGGAGGAACACGTCCGCTCCAGAGCCTGAGATGAGATTCTGGAAGGAGCAGAACTGCTGGCACTTTCTGTTGTGTCGCGTGGTAAATAGGTCTATCTGGGGAAAGCCCCACCTCTGAAATATTGAGAATGCGATGTCCGGATGAAGGGACCATTTGTGGGCATGAAACGACCTGCTGAGGTGGTCCACCAGCTCATTATGTACCCCAGGGAGGTACGACGCTTGCAGGTGTATTGAATGTTCTGTACAGAAGTCTCACAGCATGGAGGCTTCTTGGCACAGGGGAGAGGAGCATGCACCCCCCCCCCCATTTGTTGATATAGAACATTGCTGTTGTATTGTCTGTCATAACTCATACACAATGACCCATTAAATGTTCATGGAAGGTCTGGCATGCTTGGCGCACTGCTCTTAGCTCTCTGACATTCATGTGGAGAGCCAGGTCTGCCTGAGACCAGAGACCTTGGGTCCTACAGTCTCCCAGATGAGCTCCCCAGCCCAAGTCTGATGCATTCATCACTAGTGAGAGAGACAGCTGCGGATAGGTTAAGGGAACCCCTGAGCACACTTCCTGAGGGTTAAGCCACTAGATGAGGGAGTCAATGATTGGGCGAGGCAGGGTCATGATCCTGTCCAAGCTGTCCTGAGCTGGACAATACACTGACGCGAGCCATGACTGAAGAGATCAAAGCCTGAGTCTGGCATGCTGTACCATGTAGGTTCAGACAGCCATGTGTCCGAGAAGCTTCAGGAAGTTCCTTGCTGTGGTGGGGAAAACTGTCTGAGGCCTTGAATGATATCTGTCAGGGCCTGAAACCTTGCTTCCAGCAGGTATGCCCAAGCTTGGGTCAAATTCAGTACTGCCCCTATAAACTTTATCCTCTGGATGGGGGACAGAGTCGATTTTGCTTCATTTAGGAGACCCAGGTTGTTGAAGATGGCTCTGATTAGTCTGACATGAGCTTCCACTTGGGTCCTGGAGCAGCCTTTGATCAGTCGGTCATCGAGGTACGGAAACACCTGTACCTGGTGCCTGAGCAGGAATGCGGCAATGACTGCCATGCACTTGGTGAAGACTCAAGGTGCTGCTGACAGGCTGAACAGAAGGACTGTGAATTGGTAGTGGGTATTGTTCACCACAAATCTGAAGTATTTTCTATGGGTCTGAGTGATTGTGATATGAAAATATGGATCCTTCAAGTCGAGGATGGCATAACAGTCTGCTGGATTCAGTGAGGGGATGATGGAAGCCAAAGAGACCATGCAGAACTTGAGTTTCTTCATGAACTTGTTGAGTTCTCGCAGGTCCAAGATGGGCCTGAGGCCGCCTTTGGCTTTTGGTATTAGGAAACAAACAATAGAACAATAGAAGCCCTCGCCCTTCTGCTCCAGAGGAACCTCTTCTGTTGACCCTAGCGATAGGAGTGAGTGCACCTCCTGGATGAGGAGTTGCTTGTGAGAGGAGTCCCTGAAGAGGGACGGGGAAGGGGGGTGAAAGGGCGGGAGGCCACAGAATTGGATGGAGTATCCCCTCTCTACCGTGTGGAGCACCCAGCAGTCTGAAGTAATACGGGACTACGCATGGTAGAAAGGGGATATTTGGGATGAAAAGGTAAGATACGGTAGAACCAGATCTCGCTCTGGTGTGCCGTCCTCGACTGTGCCTTCAAAAGGCCAGTCTGGCCCTGAAGATGGCTTGGACTGTCCTGAGCCCTGGCCAGAGGGTTGATGCGGCCTTCTCCTGCCGCTCCGATTTCTCCTCCTGGAGCCCTCTTGGCAGTTCTGATGATTGAACCGCTGAAGAGGTTGCGGACGAAAGTGTCTCCACTGAGTTGAAGGTGTGTAGAGGTCCACAGACCTCAGGATGGCTCTGTAGTCTTTAAGGCTGTTTAGCCTTTTGTCAGTTTTCTTTGAGAAGAGAGAGTCACCCTCAAAAGGCAGGTCCTAAATGGTTTACTGTATCTCATAGGGAGGCCATAAACCTGGAGTCATGAGCCCCTTCTTATAGCTACTCCTGTGGCCATAATCCCATTGGCCGCATCTGCCCTGTCAAGTGCCGCCTGAAGGGACACCCTTGAGATCAGTCTCCCTTCTTCAACCAATGCCATGCAAGTCCGAGGGGAGCATCTCCGTGAATTTAGCCATCGCCCAGCATGTGTTGTAGGAGTACATGCTGACGATGGCTTGCTGGTTGGATACGTGGAGCTGTAAGCCTCCAGTGGAGTAGACCTTTCTCCCATAAAGGTCAAGCCTTTTCTCCTCCCAATACTTCAGGGAAAATCCCTGAAAGCCCTGACGCTCATGTTGGTCGGCAGCATTGACCATGAGAGAGTCAGGTGTGGGATGTGTGTATAAATGCTCGTAACCCTTGGACAGCACAAAGTAGCATCTTTTTTAGGGATTAGCCGTAGGGAGCAATGAGGCTGTGGTCTGCCACAGAGTTTTTGTGGTGTCAGAGATAGTCTTTATGAGGGGCAGGACAAAACGTGCATGTTCAGAGGGGGCAAGAATGTCTGGCATTGGATCTGCATCCTGCACTACCTCCTGCACCTGAATGCCCAGGCCCTGGGCAACCCTCCACAACAATTGCTGCAGAACACTGTTGTCCTCCAAGGCTGGGGCTGTTGCCAAGCCCTCCAATGCCTCATCTGGTGAGAATGAAGAAGAGACTCACGGGAGGGGTGGCTGCTCCCTTCTTTCTGCACCCAAGACATCCTGCAGCACCTAGATTTCTTGGGCCGATGCCAGCCTAGATGGTGTCGTGCTGTATAGGGGCTGTATACACCGACGCAGGCACTGCTGGTGCCGAAAGTGCTATCGGTGCAGATGTCATCCTCAAGGTCAGAATTGCCATCGGCACCGGAATTGCTGTTGGTGCCGGAGCCAACGTAGCCACCAGTGCCAGAGTCCCCGCCAGTATTGGGGCCGCTGGGACCCCCCAGGCCCAGTGACAGTTATGCTGGAGGCATTGAGATGGTAGCATAAGGTGCTAATGGGCCTACCCCCACCCTACTGGTGCCGGTGGTGCTGGCGGGGGTATAAATGAGGCTGAGGCCACTAACATCGCCCTGGAATGAGACCCTTGGCTGTGGCCGTGGCTTTGATGAAAGGCCCAGGGAGTCCAAAAGGGCCATTGCGCCAGGGGCTGCCATTGGGCGGGCCATGGTGCTGGGTAAGGGTGCTGGTCCCAAACATGGATCATCTGCTCCTACTCCTCCGGGACCGATAGAAGCGTGACTCCAACTCCGAGGTCTGTGAAAACGATGACCATGGGGGAGTGGTACTTCTAGGCACCGAGCTTTCACGCCGAGGGCTCGGGGATCAGCGTGGCTGCTGGGTGTGCTCCAGTGCTGGGGAGTGGTGCACGGGGCTCAGAGATTGGAGGGTCATCTTGTTGAAGGAAGGTGCAGCTCACAGCTTGGCCTCAGCAAGCGAGGAAGGTCCAGACTCAACCACCTTTCTCCGTGGGCAGGAGTCGGCATGACCATCACTGGTGGAGCAACACTGGTGTAGCCCGACTTGGGTATAACAGCGGCAGGCTCTTTAGGCCTAACAGTGGGAAATCGACCGCTCTTCAGCCTCTTATTTTGTGGAACCAGCGATTGCGAACAGTGCCTGCATGCGGCATGTGAGCTGCAAGTGGAGCCGGGACAGTCCTGTGAGTCCTTACTGGGATACTGTCATGCTGACAGTGCCGGAGCACTCCACACTCAGGAGGAGGTATTTGGCACAGGGTCCGTCGACCCAGGGTTGGGCTGGGGGCAGAATGCTGCCTCAATCAACAGGACCTTCAGGCACTGGTCTCTATCTTTTAAAGTCCTGGGCCGAAAGGTCTTACAAATGGCACAATGATCCTTCTGATGGCCCTCTCCTAAATGCTCTAGACATGAGGTATGAGGATTGCTTCTGGGAATACACTTGCTGTAGGCCTCACAGGCTTTGAAGCCCGGAGACCCTGGCATTGGGAGAGGGTAGGCGGGGATTCCCCACCAAAGGAAACTTATCTAACACTAATGAACTACTAACTATTAACGAACAATGGAAAATTAATGGAGAACAATGTAAGAAACTGCAAAATGCGCTTGTCGCACAGGGAAGTTTCAATAACCATCACTGGCAGTAAGAAGGAACTGAGTGGGTGGTGGGTCGACAGGGCTCTATATTGAGCGCCACAAAGTTGTGACTCCAGGGGGTGCCCAGGCCTACCTGATGGATACTGCTAGGGGAAAAATGTTCCAGCTACCATGCATGTGTGCGTGTGCACACACTTGATTGGAATCGAGATGAACAAGCACTTGAAGGAGAACCATCATTTTCTCATAAATATTCCATGAACAGGAAGAGATGCTAAACAGGCTGGGGAAGTAATGTCTTGTGAACTATTCATTCAGCTCTAATCTTGAGCACCACTTGAGAATTATACTTACCACCACTACCCTTGGACTGTCCAGCTGCACTACATCAGTGTGACCACCACTTGTATTGCAATGGGGCAACTGGCAAACACATACCAAAGATTTATGATGTAGTGCTTAGATAGATTGTTGGGAATTAGTTTCCAAATGACTGTATCAGTTGCCTTCAACTTAAGTACTTCTCAGGATTCAGAAGACTAATTATTGTTTTCTTTTTCTTGCACCTTTCACCATTTGAGGTTTGGCAGGAATAATCACAAAGCCTTAGCTCCCTATTAGTACTGCCAGTTGCTTTGGTTTCACGGTTTAATGAGAGAAGTTGAAATATCCTGAATATGACTCCTGAAACTTTAAGAATTTTGCCCAATTGCTGGACCTCTAGGGTTTTCACATTGTATAACAAACTAATTTTTATATCTTGTCAGAGAAAACACTTTTTCAACATTTTAAGGAATACCATGCTTTAACATTAAGCATATTGCATGACTTTACAGTATTACTAAGTGCATTAATGTAATTATTAAGATGAAGTGAAAGTATTTTAAAATGAATAAACAATTGTTAGCTTTTCATTTAAATTTTGCATATTGACATTTTCACTATGGCTGCATTACACTTAGGACTGTGATGAATTTAGTTGAGTAGACACAAAGATTCTCATTGAGCTGCAGTAACTGGAGTTTTAGGGGGACTCAAGAAGTGGTCTTCATTTATTCACAACATCTGAAGAATGAGTAAGATCAGAACAGAGTATTGAACAGTCGGTGATGTTTTAATTTTGTGGTGAGTTGTCCACAGTAGTTTTCCAGCAAGAAAAATATAGTGTACAGAATAATGTTTACTGGATGGAAACTCAATTTCACTTGCAATTTTTTAAATTTCTATTATTTTTAATCTTCAGATTCTCAATCACAAATTGAAAAATCCAGATGGAAAAGACTATCCCTTTGCCAATGCATGATTAATTGTTCTCTAAATTTTCTAAGCTTTACCCATTCTAGTTTTAAAATGTGGCAGCAAAACAATTGGCTTTTTGAGACATCTGCTCTCCTTCTCTAAGAGGCATGGAGATACAGAAATCCAAGTAAAAATGATGGAGAAACCCTTGAAATAATGCAAAAAGGGAAGAATGGAAACAATTTGCCACATCTCTCCCCACAAAGTCTGGGCCTTTGAATATCCATGGGTATTTGGAGAAACTGGGAGTGGGTAAGAGGCAGGAATAGAACAAAAAGCAGGCTGTTTGTGTGGCATAATTCCTGTAGACACCAGCAGGTTTCTTGGTGGATAGCCTTACAGAAGTTTATTGCTGCTGTGACAGTGAGAGAGAGCAAGCAAGCGCGAGAGTGCGTACACCAGCGTGTATTATATGTAGCTGCACATGAAGAAGTTACTAAGGAAAAGCCACGTCAAGTAAATGACAGTTGCAGTTTTAGTGTTTTGAAAGCTCTCTCTCTTCTGAAATCTAATATGGAATTCAGGCCATTAAATGTGGAAAAGATAGAAGAACATGGAATTATCTGATGGCTAATTTAAACTGAGAAAATATTTTAAAATCTGATCAATATTATTTGTAACACAATGCTCATCTAATGGCGATAGGCCTATGTACATAAACAGAAAACACGGAATTTATCTGCTATGGTTCGCTTCTTTCCTTCTGTGCTTGTAAGAGTGAAAAGGGTATTCTGAATCAAAATATGAAGAGGTCTAGGCAACAAAACAGTGAGGAAGTCTGCTTTGGGAGGACAGGAGGAAAGACAGTTTGGACAAAAAAGCAAAATCACTATTTTTAACATTCTTAAAATCTTAATTCCCACAAATTTGAAATTGTGTTTAAAAACTACCTGTCTCAATCAATGTATTCCTCCACCCCATGGGAGAACATGGGCACCAGCTATGGATGTCTGAGAAAGGACAGCAGACAATCTTACTATTCCCCACAACTCCCCAAAGACAGCAGTTACGGGGAGCAGGCCAGGCAGGTGCCCATGTAGACATGGGAAAGGGAGAAGGATTGTAGGCCACTGTAAGGAAAATGAGGAGGGGCATCTAATGTGCTAGTGGAGTTAGGGTGGCAAGACTTGTTGGTTTCAATAGGAAACTAAGAATTCCTCTTGGAGTTTCAGGCTCATACGGACACAGCATCACACTGTAATTAAGGGACTGCAGAACTGTCATATTAGGTCTATAGAATCCCTATGAACCAAAATTTGTAGGTTTTTTTTCATATTCCTATTAATGACCCCAGGGCAGTTGCTATTGACCCTGTTAGAGAATATCCCTGACCCAGTGGCTGAGAAATGCTGGTCTTACACATCATTTTTTAACATTTGAAGAGAATGGTATTTCAAAGCTTTCAAAATTTGTCATTTTGAAAGTCCTAATGCTTAGAGTGCTACTTCACATAAGAAAGCTACTGATACGTAAACATGATTTAAATACTTAAACACGCAGAATTAATAAAACAGATATTTAAACAAAAGCACAGTTAAGCCCTTAAAATAAGCTGATATGTACATGTTTGTATGCATGCACTTGTATGTGGGGGGAGAGGCTGGGGCAAGAGCAGGAAAAATAAAAGAGGAGGGGTGATTTGAAATCTAAATGAATATTAATATTTATAAGGCTTTTTCCTATAGACCTCAAATACATTTATGAAGGAATGTATGCACTTCTAACATTATATAGGTGGGGAAACTGAGGCACGGAGGAGCAAAGTGACTTGCCCAAATTTACAGAAAAGGTCAGCATCAAAGCATGGATTAGAATTTAAGTCTCCTGGTTCCCAGTTCATTGCCTTGTCCTCTGGACAATACTAAATTTGAACCAGATAGCCTTCACCTTGTGTGTTTTGAATTCAGTTTGTCTGATGATAAACTAGGACATTGCCACAGTAAATAAAATCAGATTTTTGCTTTAAGAGACAGCAGTCAAGAGAGCTGAGAATGAAAAATGCACGACTGCAAACTCCAATTCAGATTTGGTACACATCGAAGCAAGTACATTTCCTGCGAGTCTAATGTAATATGAATATGAGTCCTGAATACTATATTAGAAATAATGCATGTCATATTTCTTTGTACAGATCTGCCATGTGTTTCAGAGGTGTCTCTTTCCTCTAAATCTTTATCAGTTTTCCTCTGTTCCTAATGATCAGTGTTAGTCACATCTGATGAAGTGAGCTGTAGCTCACGAAAGCTCATGCTCAAATAAATTGGTTAGTCTCTAAGGTGCCACAAGTACTCCTTTTCTTTTTGCGAATACAGACTAACACGGCTGTTCCTCTGAAACCAGTGTTAGTCTTGTCACTGTAGGGCTGTTTTATGAAGCATGCTGGCTCCCCTCATCTTTGCTCACTGTCTCCGTGGAGTCGCCAGCATCATACGTGGAACTTTGCTTGATCCCAAATCCAGAGCTCACTTTCTGCTGTCTCTTTAACCTGAAAGGAAACAAAGTGTGTGACCAGAAAAAAAAAATCAGAAATGCCAATTGTAAATTTAAAACAGGATATCAAATATCTTCCAAGAAAAAGTTTTGTTATCACTCAAGTGTAGAGCACTAGAAGTTTATATCAGACAGGAATTTTGCAGCTCAGTTAACTTTAGGGCACATATTGGATTTTTTCCCCCAACAATTGATTCCTTAATGCACCTAAGGAAAAAGAGATACTGTTTTAGATTAAATTATCTGAAATCATCTTTTAGAACAAGAAGCAGGGTATGTACATTTGCTTACTTACTTTGCGATGACTATGACCCTTTATTTACTGAATGGCATTTTTGGACTGTGGTATGAATGTGTATGATTTTTTTCATCTATTCTGAGCAACAACTGCTGAGCCTTCTTTTGGGTATGTGTGGGAAGGTATAATAAGGCACCTAAATAATTAAGATACCGCAAGCCACTGGTTTACCAGGTTTTAGTGTCTGAAGGGAAGGATGGAGCCAGGAAATGTGCAGAAACAACCATCCTGAAAAAAATATGTTGGGTTTGATACATTCTACAGCATTTTGCTCAACAACAGAGAGTCCAGGTTCACATTTTGTAAATTACAGTTAACTCTCATTCTTTAATAACTATTGTCCATTACAAAGAAACCTCCTATAAAAATGAGGTTGATGAGGATTCATTTATTTTAATTCACTAGTACAGGACACAGTGAAATTACTTAGCAATACCCTGTTATTGTTGTAGTTTGCTTTTGCCACTTAACCAAATTAGAGATGCTATTCCATATATTCATATGACTACATCAGCATTTATGTTAGCTTGACGGTATTCAAGGCAACACTGCACAATGCCACTTTATACTTTTTTGCACAAAAAGGGAGACTATCACCAGAATTTAAAACTGAAAAAAGTCAGTTGGAAATCAGGGATATGAGCTTAAATGATACAAATGACATTCTGTTCCCTCAGGAATATGGATGTTACATTTTCAATAGCAAATAATTTACCTTTAAAAAGAAATACGTCTGGCTAATAGAAACACACAGTCAATTCCATTAATACTAGCCTATATTTTTTATTTATAGTTCCAAATTAATAGGCTGCTCTGATACTTGTATAAAATTTAGCTGAAGGCTTCCTGTCCTTCTGATATTTTTAATGCATTAGTAGAGACAGATGTTCATTTTATTCAATTATTTAATTGCATTAATACAATTACATATGTTGTGAACCAACAGTAAAATCAATATCTTGCCTAATAACTTTTAGAATATTTAGAACAAGTATTTGAAAGTATCCGTAAAAGAAAATATGTTTGCCAACCTTCACTAATAAACTTGAATATTGACCCTTTGTGAATGGTAGCACCAATCCATAATAAATGACACTATGCAAAATGTCTCCTAACCTATTAATATAGAAGAAAACCCTGGACCCACTACTGCACTGATTTGCAACCACCTGCAGTATCAAATCAAAAACAGTTCCTACTCTGTGAGAACTACTGGGACTGCTGTTCTATTTAAGTTAATCCTTACCGAGGTATAAATGGAGTGCATGGCACAGATATCAAATGTTTTTAGCTCAATTTTATTTTCCGTATTTGCAATATATACTCGTAACAGGTCTGAAGTACCTTTTATTGATTCTCTGCCAGTGTTATATATTACTGCTGTAATGCCCTATTTAAGAGAGAACACTTACAGAATCAGAGTGAGTGGGCTATGAAAATGGTCTATTGCTAATAGAGAGATTCTGTGATGAGGCCTGTCATAAATATAAAGGGAAGGGTAAACACCTTTAAAATCCCTCCTGGCCAGAGGAAAAACCCTTTCACCTGTAAAGGGTTAAGAAGCTAGGATAACCTTGCTGGCACCTGACCAAAATGACCAATGACGAGACAAGAAACTTTCAAAGCTGAGGGGGGGGGGGAGAAACAAACGTTCTCTCTGTCTGTGTGATGCTTTTGCCGGGAACAGAAAGGAAATGAAGTCACTTAGTAAGTAATCTAGCTAGATATGCGTCAGATTCTGTTTTGTTTAAATGGCTGATAAAATAAAGCTGTGCTGAATGGAAGGTATATTCCTGTTTTTGTGTCTTTTTGTAACTTAAGGTTTAGTCTAGAGGGATTCTCTATGTTTTGAATCATTGTTTTTCATTGTTCTTAAGATCCAAGGGTTTGGGTCTGTGTTCACCCGTACAAATTGGTGAGGATTTTTATCAAGCCTTCCTCAGGAAACGGGGTGTAGGGTTTGGGGAGGACTTTGGGGGGAAAGACATTTCCAAGCGGGCTCTTTCCCGGTTATATATTTGTTAGACGCTTGGTGGTGGCAGCAAGAAAGTCCAAGGGCAAAAGATAAAATAGTTTGTACCTTGAGGAAGTTTTAACCTGAGCTGGTAAAAATAAGCTCAGGGGGTTTTCATGCAGGTCCCCACATCTGTACCCTAGAGTTCAAAGTGGGGAAGAAACCTTGACAAGGCCAGCACAGTTATTCTAGAAGTAGTTGCCCAATATCGCAGCACAAATTCAGATTCAAATTACTATTACTGCTAGTAAACTAAATTCAAAATCTTAAATGAGTAATAAAAACATACCTAAGCAAAGCATCATCTGTGTTAGTTTGTATCCACAAAAACAACTAGGAGTCAAGTGGCACCATAAAGATTAACAGATTTATTTGGGCATTAGCTTTTGTGGGTAAAAAACCCACTTCTTCAGGTGCAGATGCAGGTATCATCAGCTTTGATTCCACCAGTGAAAAAGAATGGAGATTAAATAGGCTCTAAACTTTCTCAGCTTTAGAAACAAATGTAATAAATACACTATATTTGCTTGCTTGTGGGCAGCCCCACATAGCTGTGAATGCAGTGGTGGGAAAGAGCATCTAAGGAGTTTTTCCTCCATAGTTTATGTAGGAGCCAGGCACAATCCCCCTGGGCAGAATATTGAGACTAGTGAGACTTAGCCTCCCAAGAGTGGAATAGGATCACAGTTTAATTGCTTTATTTTCTAATAAACAGTAGAATTATCACTGGGGCTTGAAGAGTGAGCCTCTTCCCGTTCTCCCCACCCCTCCCTAAAGAAATTCTGGACTTTACAATTAGGAACTACACTTGTGGTTCTAGCTCCCATTGTGTTTTGCAGGTTACTGAAATGTTACTTTTGTGCAGGTGCAGTTTACAGGCTTTGGAAATCAGATACTATGCGTTAATATTGTGTTTAAAACAAAAACAACAAAAAACAAACCAAAACCAAAACAACTGTGGCAAGAACTTCTTGCGTTGCACTCCAGCCTGGCTTATCTTACCTTATTTTATCTTGAGTGATGCATGGCCCACAGGATAAAACCTTTATTGTCTGAAAGCCTTCCATGTAAAAGTGAAAACAATTGCAAAATCACTAGTGGACTTCATGGAGTCTCTGACTCTTCTTATTATTCAGAATTAAATCTCTGCTTGGGGAAGGGTTTTGTTTCTGATTTTTTAATTTAAAAAAAATACTTTTTTTGGTAGATTGTTTTTGTGTGGTACATCTCCAACAAAGCAGGCTGCAGCTCTTTACAAAAAGGCTACTGTACTCTGCATCTAGGGAGAGTTCTATCATATGCACTACCCAGGAGACAAAATCCATAATAGCTTCCTAGCTACATATCTTAAAAAAATGACAAAAGATGAGTGTACAAGAATGACTTATATGGGATTTTTTTTTTTAAGCAGCAAGATACTCATAAGAAAGTGTGTTTGGCATATTCTCCTTTTCCATTTCCTCCTCTACATGTGAGTTTGACTTTGTACAGTAATATTTTTACCTACATAATCTTCAGGCCTATAAAAAGCATAATAATTTTCTTTCCCAGTAATTACATGGTTGCCAGCTTCAATTTCAATTCCATTTACCCATTCAGAACGCTTATCTTTTAAGAGCTGCTCAATGTGTCTCTTCATTATCTCCCCTTTTACCTCAACCAGGTATGCTACTGTTTCAAACCTTCCTTCCATCCGCCCACTTCCTTTCTCCCATGAGAGTCTGAATCAAGCTCTCTCTAGTCTAGGCGTAACATGTTGGAAGTCATTTGATGTGGATTATTTACTCTATGCTGTTTTTCATGTCTAGTTCTTTTGCTAAATTTGGTTTAAATAACCCAAAGTAATGTACATATGGAAAACAAAAGGCATCACATTTCATAAGTACACATATCACCGTTCCAAATAGGAAGTCACAGGTAAACACCTGCAGGTTAAATTTTTTGTTACTCAAAACACTACTTAACATGCTACAGTATCAGTCCATAAAATGCCTCCTGGAGTCACTACTTCTAGAAATTACTTTATAGTCCTGGAATGAAAATTACATGGGTGGAGGTCTGGGACTCACTCTATTCAGCCCTGGACAGGTGCCAAAAACACACTGCTGGACTGTGACAGTACTGAAGTCTGATATCTCATGGAGCAGCAGGGCTAGCAACATATGCTATACATCACTGCAACGGTATTACAATGAGCTTTCCAATGGTGCACAGCATTTATTTCAAACCTTGTGAGGTTGTGAGATAGCGTATGAATGTACATCAGTCCAATTACTATCTCGTTGCCTGCTACCCCATCCCAACTTACATTTTGACATGATAGTGGCTGCTATCTCAAAAACTGCTAGAGATAGATACCAATTCCACAGCTGCATATCATCTGGAAGTTTGAAAACTAACTTTCGAATGTTACAAAAAATTAATCTCTCACTCTGTGGTTTGTAAGCTTTCGAGTGCTAAAGTTATGTTGGAATTGAAGTGGGAAGCAAAAACTAGAAGATGTAATCAGAATGAGAATATTAAGGTTTCATTATCATCGGACCAATCAAGTCTGATGGACAAGTGCAAGGGCTTTCAGGGCCAGTAGAGTTTTCCAAGCAAACAAATAGAAAGTAAAAAGCACTGATCCCTAATTTATAATAAAGCAGACCATTGGGTAAGGAGAAGTAAAACAGTTACAAGG